CCCTTTAATAATGTGTGTGATTCCTTAATTTACATGTAATATCCTGTACTTTGTTTTAAAATTACGCACATTTAGGGTTAAAACAGCCAATCTTCTTCGGAGAGGTGGACTCGCGCCCTTATTTGTTAATTTTTGTGGTTGTTTATGGGCTGTTCTAATTTTGATTTCATTCTGTTGTGAAACCTTTCTTTTTCACGTTTTTACACTCATCTAAAAATCTCTAGACTAGCTCTTGAAAACTGAAATAGATATGGACCTAAAAATTTGCTCCTGTGTGTGTGTGTGTGCGTATGTGTCTGTGTGGTAGTAAGTGTGAAAGTGTAAGTGGAGAGTGAGGAGCGTGTGTGTTTGTTTGTTTTTCGGGCTTTATTTCAGCCTTTATTCAGTAACACTTCAAAGTATACAAAAATGGAAACACAGGATCCATTCACTCCAGGGTTCATGAGTCGTTCCTCTCTTTCAGTTTCACTAAATTCATTCAATTCCCGTGTTCTCCCCCGCGGCTCATCTCCGTCCGCATGACTTTCACACCCCACCCCCTCCCTCCAGGCACACGCAAAGAAAATCTCACTCATTCCCTAGCACCCTGCGAACCATGGACAATAATATAGGCAAACCACTGCCTTAACCGCATTCCTTTCGTTCGTGAGCTGTGGACCAGGCCAGGGGGGTCGGTGTCGTCGTCTTGTAGTTGCTGACGCCTGTGGATACACTCGTACATTCTTCCTTTCACCTGCTCTGTCACTCACACTGTTTCTCAATCCACAGCTCAGCTCGTCATACGTTGTGTGTGTACATGTGCATGATGGTGGTTGGTGTGAAGTAGGTGTTACTGAAGGTTGTCTGTAGGCGGGCTTGCCATGTGGTGTTCCTTCCCAGACCAGAGGCAGAGGCAGAATGAAAGTTGGCGCCGAACTCTCGCAATAAATAGGCAAAAAATCACGAGACCGGAAGCCAGAAACCGTTCGGAGAAATAAAGATCGGCACTATTTCTCCGAACGTTCGGAGAAATAGTCACTTCGATAAAATTTTGGCCGGCTCTATTTCTCCGAATGTTCGGGAAAATAAACTTGAACTCTATTTCTCTGAACTGTTTCCGTTCTCGTGATTTGTTGATAATAATTGCGAATGGAGTGGCCCGTATGCGTGTGTGTGTGTGTGTGTGTGAGTGTGCATGTGTGTGTGTGTGTGTCTGTGTCTGTGTGTAAGGTTGTGAGCGGGGGGGGGGGGGATTTTTTTTTTACATGAAGGATTTTAGTTTTTGCTGGGTGACTAAATGCAAAATATGATATACTGCCGAGGACGATCAGTCTTGTTTTCTCGGAGTACCTTTTGAAGGCCTTTTCAAATGAAGTATAGATCTAGTCCGGGAATGTTGCCCCGACCACAAGTGAAGTATCTGAATATTCAGACATTTAAAAATCCTATCTCTAAAAAACTATTCTTCCCAGCCCTCGCAGAATGGCAGAATGAAAGATGACGCCTAAATCTCGCAAAAAAACCCAAAAAATCTCCAGAACGGAAATCATTCGGAGAAATAGAGTTCAAGTTTATTTTCCCCAACGTTCGGAGAAATAGTAAATTCGTAAAAATTTTATCAGTTTATAAAATTTAGATTTTATTAGAGTAAGAATAAGAGCATAATTATGCCAATTGGAAGGTTTCTTACTGTGGTGGAACATGTTCTCAAACTCGAAGACGAAGGCGATTTTTGATATTATTAACAATAGTTTTACTAACTGAGATCTGTCATTGATCTCTGTTTCAAGCCACTATCAGAATTATAGTACGTGCTGGCCCACATTAATCCCTTCGTGACACAATATATGTCACTTCATGCTTCACCAGGCACAGTTTTGGATTGCCGAGGGCACAGAGTAGCGCTAGATTTAGTGCTCAGGTTCCTATAATTAGACCTGGCTCGCAAATACTACTACCATATTAAAAGGGAAAAGATTTCTCTGTACACGGAAAAAAATGCGTGAATCTGCAAAATAAGTTTTTTGAAATGCGTCTTATAATAAAAGCAGTATACAGAGTACAATTATGATGAACGACCTTCGTTATCATATTATGGTCCTCGCGCTTCGCAAGGCATGACGAACACTGTATGTCACAGCACATCTTGGGTTGCTCACTGTATGAAATAATGACGAACGGCATACGTCATATGTCATGAATTAAGGGGTTAATCAAAAAGCAGCGGCTATTAGGACTCGAGTCTGAATAGCCTCCGATGGCTATTCGGACTCATACTCCAATGTGTTTACTGGAGGTGAAGCGGGCAGGCAGTTTTATTATGACCTTGGCCTTCCTGGGTTTCTATGTTCTGGCCAAAATTTTCGTCCCGAATTAAGAAAAGTATTAGTTCTAGTGATGTCAAAAGTGAACAATAGTTGCCAAATCTGAAATACTACACAACAAAGGCAAACAGGGGACGAGAAAGACAAAATTGTCCAGTCCAGTCACTTCAGAAATTAAGAAGACAAAAGTTAAACCCTTCCAAAGGGAACAAAAGTCAGTCATTCAAAGTAACGCGCATTGAAGTTTGAGTCCGAATAGTCACGGGAGGCTATTCAGACTCGAGTCCGAACAGCCACTTCGTAATCAAAAGCATGGTATCAGGTTGGGTCGGGTAATGGTGCTGGACAGAGTGCACACTATTATATAATAAAATTCACTATAATATCAAATTAAAACTTCTTCTTTGCCTCATCATATCCTTTTCCAAGGATTCTCGAGCTATGGAAATCGCAATACCTTGACGCCCTTTTTCTCACAAATTTTTCCACTGGAACCAGGTGACCCCACCTCCTTTAAATGGCAAATATCTAAACTTTTAAAGATAGATAGGTATTTTCTACACTGAAAGATAGACAAGTGAACAATCTTTAAGACGATACCAATAACTCAACATGCCCAAAAATTGGTGAGTGCTTGATTCCACCATGTTGTGACACAAAGGACAAACAAAAATGAGTCTGTCTTAGCGTCATGTCCGAGTTTAGGGAATATCCTTTATGTCATGTCCTTTCGGGAATATCTGTGCTGAAACTGATAAAAGATTCGTGTCACAATGCGGTGGAATCAGGCGCTCGTCAATTTTCGGGCATGTGGAATTATTGGTATCATCTGGAAGCTTGTTCATTTGTCTTGTTTATAAATTTCCGCACCCACTCCCTTTCACTCTGCCTTTCCAGATGGGCTGGGGGGACTTGGGTGTGTTTGGTGAGCCCAGCAAAGAGACACCCAATTTGGACCAAATGGCAGCAGAAGGAATGCTCTTCCCAGATTTCTACTCTGCTAACCCGATTTGCTCTCCTTGTAAGTATATCTTATGTATGGGTATATTTATTTGAATGGATATACATCATGTACAGTCAAACTTTCTTTAACGGTACCATGTCCAAGATGGAAACCGGTCATAACGGAATCTCTCCGCTCCCCCATTGATAAATTTTCCAGTAATTACCTCTATATAACGTAAAATCTGCTCAACCCGGGACTTGAAAGAGAAATTCCTTCCTTTTGGAGGATTTTGACGTGTTCAAGATGGAAAATGCTTTGTCTGTTCAGCCCGACTTTGAAAATAAAAGCTCTCAAGTTTGGTTCCACCGCCAGTTGTTATCTCTTATATATATTTCTTTCTACAGTGCCACCAATCGAGGGGTGGAGGTGGTGGATTGGGTAGCTGTCATCCATATGAGTCCTCAGGGGTCAGATTGCCAAGATGGTGTGGTGGTGTGGGAGTGAAGAAATCTTCCCATTGCTTGTAAAAGTGCTCAACTGTCATGGCAACTTTCCTGGGTATCCAGAGATGTGAAAAATTAATTTGACCACTGCCTGCCTGCTGCCCTGATCATAAAGCCATTAGAGGAAAGTTTGTGGCATCGATGAAATATGCTGTGGAAAGGAGTGGTTTGAACTGAGCCCAGATTGCAGAAGCCTGGCCAACATTCACATCACTATGGGTCATGAAAGACGGGTATGTGCTGCTGTCATTAACGACAATGATATACGACAGTTAATTGAGGAGCATTCCAAGCCAGAGGACTCAGTGATCAATACGGATGGGTCAGTCAGGAGGGGTGAGAGAAGTGGATGGGGTTTTGTGGTGTACAGTGGGAACAAAAAGGTTCATAGCATGTCAGGGGCCATAGAAAGAACAACTTCAAGCATGAAAATGGAGATTGAGGCCAGTAACAAGAGCGCTTGGTGGATGGCTTCATAATACAAGACCAAGATCAACTCGTCTCATCATTGTCACAGACTCCCAGAGCATCTTGCGAAGGGTTGAGAAAGGGCTTCTTTGGAGTGAATGGATGAACCCAATACAACACTCATCACTTACAGCCATCACGTGGATATTCTGTCCTGGGCACTCTGGAGTGAAAGGCAATGAGGAGGCTGATAGGCTGGCAGGCAGTGCCGTGGTTGATGGTGAGGTGAAATTTGACAAAGGAGAAGTGTTGAAGACCCTGGAGAAAAGTTGCGGGATGAAGAAGACAAGGAGACAGCAGAACACCACGCAATCATTAGGATGCGGGAAATGGTGATAGAGAGGGGAGAAGGAAGAAAGGAACGATTATCTGGAAAGGAAAGACGTCGCCATAATCAGACAGCCACAGGAACAATCAGTATGGATACCTTGCAGGCTTTGGTGCTGGGGGGAACTGAGCACTTATGGACCTGTCCGGTGTGCAATGATGTTGTTGCCCAGGACAGGTAATACAGGTAAAGCCATTAGAGGAAAAAAGTTCCTGGAATCACTGTGACATGATAATAATAATAATAAATAGCATTTTTTATAGCGCATGTCCCCACTCGAAATCAAGCCCTATATTATTACCCCAGCAGACCATAAAACACTCAGAAACATTCTCAGCTTCCCTGGAAGCATACATGACAATGACAATCTTTATTCATCTCTCATCTAGAAATTTGTCTTGGTCGTTTTCAATGGAAGTGGATGTTACAATGTACAAAGTTAGGTGTACTCCCGTATACACACAACAAGACAGGACATGAGTAAATACATGTCTCACTTGCTGAGACAACCCCTCAGAGGGTGGGTTGGCATTGGTTGATTGTGCACTACATTACGTGGATAGAGGTTAAGACAAAGGAGACTTTTAATCATTAATTATTTTAAATTGGTCAAGCACTGGTCCTCTGCTAGCACTATTGTCTCTGCTCTCACAAGTTTGTTTTCACACTCAATTTTTTTAATCTCTACATTCTATCACAATCTTTTTGTGGTTTTGGTAGCCTAATTGTTAGGCTACCAGACTCATAATTGTGAGATTGCAGGTTCGGGGGTTCGAGCCTCAGCTTGGTCCGACATTGTGTCCTTGGGAAAGGCACTTTACACGAATTTCCCACTTGGCTCGGTCCTTTTGGAGATGGTCGTTAAGCTCATCTGTCCCGCCTCTTAAATAACCTAAAAACAGTGTTGATAGGGGCGTTAAACCTGTACCATTTCACCATTTTTAACAATCTTTTTGAGTGCTCAACTGACCTTGCACGGTTGCGAGCGCTGTAAAACTTGTACCAAACTAAACTAAACAATCTATTTCACAGTGGCCTTACCTCCTAACATTGCATTTCACCTTGACTAGTGACATTATTGCTATTATTATTATTATATTATTATTATGACTATCTTTGTTATTATTATTGTTATTATCATTATCATTATTATTATTATTATCATTATCATTATTATTATTATTATTATTATCATTAATATTATTACTCCCTCAGCTCGTGCCTCCTTGCTGAGTGGACGACTACCCATCAGGAATGGCTTCTACACCACCAACAAACTTGGACATGACGGTAAGACGGACTCATTTTTGTTTGTCCTTAATGTCAAAACACAGTGGAATCAGGCACTCACCAATTTTTAGGCATGTTGAGTTATTGGTATCGTTTTAAAGATTGTTCACTTGTCTATCATTCAGTGAAGAAAATACCTATACCTATCTATCTATTTTAAAAAGAAGTTCAGATATTTGCTATTGAAGGAGATGGGGTCGCCTAGTTCCAGTGGAAAAATTTGTGAGAAAATGAGCGTCAAAGTATTGCGATTTCCATTGCTCGAGAATCCTTCGAAACTGAAAATATACATTTTTCAGTAAACTTTGCTTTGAAACATATTTTTAAATGGACAAAAAAAGGTGATGAGCCAAAAAACAAAAATTTGATCAAAATTGCCGAATAACCTGCAAAAAAATTCTGTTTTCTTAGATTTCATTATTTTAATGAGCGCCTGATTTCACTGTGATGCCTCACATTTATTTGTTTTATGTGTGAAGACTTTCCAAGATTTTTGTTAAAGATGGTTAGACAAACTTCAACAATTTGATTTGTGTATTGTACCATTTTCTTTCAGCATACACGCCGCAGGTGATTGTCGGAGGTATACCCGATGAGGAAATCCTCTTACCTGAGTTGTTACAGAAACATGGCTACAGGAACAAAATCATTGGAAAATGGTGGGTGAATTCTCTGCTGACCCTCTGAACTCCCCTCCCTCCCCCTGTGGGAGAAAAGACGAGGGGAGGGTAGTCGAAACAATAGCTTGCCCCTAAGCTCGAGGCATTTTACGTGTGTTTTAAGGCATCGTGGCGTTGGTGGCCTAGTGGTTAGGCTCTCGGACTCGCAACCGAAAGGTCGTGGGTTCAAATCCCGTCAGGGGCCCGGCTTTGTGTTCTTAGGAAAAGCACTTTACATGAATTTTCCTCACTTCGCCCAGGTGAGAATGGGTACCCAACTACAGACAGCGAAAGATTTTTTCAATTTGTTAGTGTTGAGCGCTTAATCGGCTGTTTGCACTCTACGCTTTCCGGGAAGCTGAGAATGTTTCTGGGTGTTACAGTGTCTGTTGAGGTAGTGATGTAGTGTAAAGCGCATAGAGCTTGCTGTCAAAGGGGGGCGGGTGTATGTGCTGTACAAATACAGATACTATTTATTATTATCATTAAGGGCATGCGCAAGAAGAGAAATCTCTAGGATCTCCTAATTATGAAGTAAGGTGGTCTACTTGTAAAAACAAAAACTGCGGTGGCGTCAGTAGCCTAGTGGTGAGATTATGGGTTCGGGTTTTTAAAAAATATCTAGTCAGGTTTCCCCTATTGGAATAATAAATATAAGTGGTGATTTAAAAAAACAAACAAACTCACATGACTTGTGTGCATTTTATCACATTACAGTCAGGCACAGATAACTCAAAACACCTCAGAGGTTGACAATTTTGTTCGACGCGTATGAATTTTTGCAAATTGATTAAATGAAAATTTAAGAAGAGATATCATTCAGGGAATGGCAAATTGTATGAGTTATCTGTGATTTTGAGTTTTCCGTGGACGTGTTATCTGTGCTCAGCTGTATGTGTATATTCTCATATCGTCGGCCTTGTGATAAAACCGACACTAACCCCAGCGAGGAAAATTTTACAGGAGAAGGAAAAAACTGTTTTATTTCAAAACAAAGGCGTCTAGCGATAAATCAATGCTTTAAACACCTATAAAAACACTTTACCGAAAATCTGTAGACCTTCTTTGCCTTTAAAAATTGCTTTTAATAAAACTGTGTGGGTTAGACGGTTATATCGCTCAGATTTTCCTGGATAAAACCGACCAACCCTCAATTTTGTGGGTTGGCCGGTTTTATCAGGAAGCCACTGCTGGCCTAGAGTTTGGTTGAGTGCAGCCAAGCCACACTTGACGGTAACGTATTTGATCACTTGCTTCAATCGTCAAGATCTTTTGTAGAAGAAGAAGAAGAAGAAGAAGAAAAAGGAGGAGGAGGAAGAGGAGGAGGAGAAATATGGAGGAGGAGGAGGAGAAATATGGAGGAGGAGGAGGAGAAAGATGGAGGAGGAGGAGTAAGAAGAAGAAGGAAGAGGAGGAGGACTATATTATTGCTACCAACATACTATCAGCTGCTGCCTTTTCAGTACTATGGAGTCAATTCGGGCAAAAACTGCAGTCACAAAGTTGAACCTTTAATAGAAGCAGAAGAAGCAGAACACAGCAATGGGTATATTAATTACATTTAAAGTAGAAGAACAGGAGGTTGGAAGGGTAAGGGAGAGCAGCTACGGCAACAACTACAAAACAACAACTACAACAACAACAAAAACAACAGTAGTAGCAGCAGCAACAGTAGGCCTTTAGAATTTATGACCGTGTCTGACACGGTACTATTGGCACTGGGTGGCCATTCAAAGGCCTGGGAAAAAGTAATACTAAGAAAGAAATGAAAGCAGAAAGCCACACAAAAGCTCTGCTACCTCGGCAATGGTTTGGGAGAAGTTGGTTACATAATGAGATATCATTATTATACAAAAAGACTTTGTGATTACCAAAGAATGCTCCAGCTTTCTCCAAGGTGCGTGGCTTGACAACTACTACTTTATTGAGTTTTCTCGACGATAGAAGAGCATGTCTGTCTCACTCTGTGTCGTCCTATGGCTACAACAAGGCCATACGACAAAAGTTACCATTGTTTCGAAAGACTCTACAATAATCGAATTTGGCTTGTTCGCTTTCAAAACTTCTTACTGAAGCAAAGTTTCATGGTAATTGTGGTAGCATCATGGTACGACGGCCTTCAACTCCAGTAGATGTTTATACTGGTTGGCAGTTATCTTCAATCTGTCTTTGCAGAGAGGTCCAGCCCGTCGTACACATGGTGTTCAGCTTTCTTGGTCCTTGCAGCGCCTGCCATCCATCATCAAAGTTCAGCTTGTACTGAATTTTAAAGGCTGGAGTGTACTTTGATGCCTGCAAGTCAGTGACAGTAGGATCGCCTTCTTTTCTACCTGGACGGGTTGTTTAGTGCTCTTCGACCTTTGCGAAATCTTTGAAAAAACTGTGGTCCAGGTACATAACTTCATAGGGCCTGGGGATGCGTCGGGCTTTGAGCATGATGTTCACGTAGTCCATTGGGATGTACATCAGTGCGTTTTTTAGCGATCGCTCAATAGTGCCGTGGACTGAATCCACTTCCATTTGGGTATGGCCCTTGGGGAGAATTTCTGCTCAACTGTGATATCAAGCTCTTTGGCCAGCAAGGCCATTGCACTCACCAGGGTGGCTTTCTGTTTTAGTAGTTGCGCCAGTCACTGCAGATGATGAAGTGGTTGAAGTCAGTCACTTGCAATATCAGTTAGTCAGTCAGACATGATGAAAACTGTTGAAGCCCAGACCAACTTCACTTTCATACCAGACATATCATCTGGCGTCTCTGGTGGCAAGATCCTAAGTCGTAACATTGTGTACAGCCAGTTTTGTTTTATATAAGGTGGAATTCTTTAGGGATGGGGCCAGAAGGACGCACTGGATCTCCATACAAAGGACACGCACAGCCTCCCTGTCCGTCTCCTTCTCTGGTCTAGCTGCAGCTTTCCTCATATTCATATTTGAGCTGTGTGTTCTGTTTCTGTGAGGTTTCCAGATTTGAACTTTGTACAAATGTCGCACTGGTCTTTCTTGGTTGAAAGTAAACCCAAATTGTTTTTCTTGAACATTTGGCAGAACACTTGATAGCTCAATGTGGCTTTCATCCTCTTTGCAAAGTTCTCCATGTATACTTGATGCAGATCTGACGTTTTCTGGATTGTCATCTGTAGACAGGAGGATATCTTCGAAAGTTTATAAAAAAATTCCTCTTTATGGAACAACTTGTCATCATTGGCTCTCTCATGGTGGGCGTGATGTGTTCTAGGAGGGTGGACCTCTTATTTGTTTGTTTTTCGGAGAAGACACTTTAAATTCACCAGTGGGTCAGGCCTGTGGTGTTCTTGAAGATTGTTTTACAAACAGGTGTTCTTTGACCATTGACTCTTGTAATTGGTATTGAAGGCTGCAATTTCTCCTTGGGTTTTCCCTTGCTGTGTAAGATCTCTTTTTGTCTATCATGTTTATCGTGGCATATATATAGGCTCTCTTTTCTTTTCAAGAGAGTGACCAGTGATGTCATTGCATTTTGTACCAACCAGTTTACAACTGCAAAGGACGTCAAGTTCACATCCTGCTCGCTTCGTGCCTTCACATGGGTAGAGGCATCCCCAGTTCTTTCAACCTCTTCCTTTTGTTACCCTTCCAATCGTGTTCATGCCGTGTCCTTTTCGCAGAGATCAAAAATGACATAAGTGTTGTATTATCAGCTGATGTGACATTAGCCTGGTCACTTTGATCGCTTTCCACTGCGCTGAGGGTAAGAGGTGTCGCAGCAAAAGTGGCATCATCTTATTAAATGTTATAGTGTTATGTAAGCTAAGGTTTGATATAAAGATAAAGCATTAGTTTATGACACTGAGAAAATAATCTACTCAAAATGCAAACGAAATGAACTTTCAAAGAAAGTCAAAAGATGTTTCAGAAGGTAAGGACTGCAATAAACACAGCAAATGAAAAAAAAAGAAAGAAAAAGCGCTTTAAAAAACAACGATCGTTGGGGGCAGACGGTGTGCTGGACAGGTCCCACAATTATTTTTTTTTTGAGTGAGTTAGTAAAGGAGGAAATGCTATCTACTTCGTCCATTCAATTGTGAAGGAAAAATGATTAGGAGAAGAGACAGTAGTCCAAATAGGGGAAAATGCCTTCACAATCGGTGAATTTCGAGTACAAAGACAAAGAAAAACACGCGGACAGAAAACATAGTTTCATATAAAACAAAATCCATAAAGATGCATTTCAAATACGGGAATTGTCACAAGATAAACAGTTCTGTGGGAACAGTGGGGAGTTTTAGTCATTAATAACGTTATCAGCAGCATTAAAACAAAGAAAAAAGAGGAAACAACCAGATCTATATAACTCCCCAATGAAACCAACAGGAAATATTACACAAATATTCCTTTTTGGAGAGCTCCCACGGTTATGTGAGCAAATTCTGGACTTTAACAGGTCTGAATCTGATTTCAAACGAAGTCCGGAGAGGAGTCAAAGCCGGGGTTAGTCGGTAACGTAGCAAGTGGTCCCTCATTGTTAGCGCGATAAAAACAGCCAACCCTCATTCCCTCCCTCGCAGGTGGGATAGTCGGAATTATCGGGCTAAAATCCGATGGGTGCCGGGTTATACGGTTTTATTTCTAATGATTTAAAGACATTTCTAGACAAAATTCAGATCTGTCTTTGAGTGAGCATATGAAATGGACAATTTACTATCGATAGGGCCAATAAAATTTGAAAAAATATTTTGTGGGTTAGTCGGTTTTATCATCAGGCCGACGATATGGAGCCTGAGGGCGGGTGGTTGGCGGGTGCTCCGGTGCGGTTTGCTCCTTCTTTCCTATCAAACATCTATCATTTGTATCTCTCCTCCTCTTTTTTTTTGTTTTGTATTTGTTACTCCTGCTTCACCTCAAATCTTCGGCACTTATATTAACTAATTGCGTAGCTAATGCAGTATAACTCTTCATCGTCATCATTGCCTTTCTCACCCTGAATCAGGGTGCAAGCCAACACAAGCAGTCCTGGGCTGGCCTCTTGATGTTAATCCATGTCGTCCCTCTTTTCTGTACCCTTTGTACATCAATTTCTGTTTCTCTTCTCTCGGTTCAACGTGGTCTTCCCATTGATCTTTCGTTCATAAAATTCTTACTAAAACAATAAAAACTAAAACAAAGCCCTTGGCACATTTTTTTAAAGGCACCTGGGACAGCAGCCTCAATACCACCCACTGAAGCACGGATTTGACGAGTGGTTTGGGGCTCCCAACTGTCATTTTGGTCCCTTCGACGATAAGAAAACGCCAAATATCCCGGTGTACAAAGACGCTGATATGGTGGGCAGGTAGGTACGGAGGAGCGAAAGTGTCGTCGGTGTTGATAGCACAGATGTTAATTGGTCGCCGTTTTTGAGGACAGGCGGGCTAACCCAGATTTCGGGGGTTTCCGGAAATCTTGACCTTCACCAAAAGTAGGCATTGCTCTACCTCCTATAGGAGAAGTTTGGTTTCATTGGTATGTATATTTGTTTGGTTATAGAGAAAACTCTCCTTGTATTTAAATAAAACGGAACGAGGGGCAAAAACTTTACCTTGGATTTTCTCAAAACAGCTTTTTTCGGGATAGCCCCCTTGTGCTTAAAAGCGACCTATTTTGGTAGCACTAATGTGAGTCTTGGTGGGGAAACCAGGTGCTTGTCAAAATAAAAAAGTCAAAGAAAACAACATTTATCTTCCCCCTTGGCATTTTTAAAATCAAATTTTTGTTTTTTTGCTCAACACCTTTTATGTCCATTCAAAGACATATTTGTGTGTAGATTTTACTTTTTTAAAAACTTGATCAAAGACACAAAAAATGTGAATTTTCGGTTTCCACAGACACTTAAACTTTTGAAGTCCCCAAATTTTGGCGGCCATTTTCTCACTAATTTTACCCCTGACACCAGATGACCCCCAATCTTTCAGTCGCTAATATCTTGACTTCTGTTCTAGGTAAATAGGTATTTTTTTTCGCCAAGTGCAAGACAAAGAAACAAGCTTTAAGATGATACATACTCTACAAGCTCCAAAACTGATGAGCGCGTAATTTCACCACATTGGGACACTTTCGGTTTTGGGGGATGCTGTCAGTAGTTTCTACATATTTTCTACCTTTTTATTGTTACTTTCTATCCCCTTTTTTCGGCGGGTGGTTGGTGGGTGCTCTGGTGTGGTGTGCTTCTCCTTTCATATCAAATATATATAGTCCTTATCACTCCTCCTTTTTTGTGTGTGTTACTCTCTTGTAATATTTTTAATATTCGGCACCTGTATGACCTTATTGCGTAGTAAATGCTGTAAAACTTTTGCTAAAAAAACTAAGACTTTTTCCTCAGAAGACTTTTATGTTATTGTCTGCTCCATTTCCTTTCTTCCCTGGGGTCATTTTTACCCCCGGGGTTGTATTTTTCACATTTTAGAATGCTTCTAGTGCGAAGATTTCTTTGAAACTTTCAGTATTTCTCAAAAAATCATTTTGACAGACTGCTATGCAAAGCGTATGGATCGGATTAACGAGTACATTTCCTCTTTGGAAAGTGGTGGCACAGAGTTCCCCATGTCGTATGGATCCGATAGTAAAACGCGTCCTACGAATAGGGTTAAATAACCTAACAGTGTTGATAGGGGCGTTCGACCTATACCATTGCACCATTTTCTTTTTACCAGAACTCAACGCCTGTTATCTGCTATCGGGAGCTAGTGTTCTTTTCATTTACTTCAACTCCATCTCTCTACAGATATTACGAAGATTTTCTCATCGATCGTAAAACTGGGGAGTCCAACCTGACGCAAATCTATATAAAGGTGAACTGATCTTTAGCCTCTTTAGTGTACTTGTTTGGTGGTTGGCAGGTGCTCTGGTGTGGTTTGCTCCTTCTTTCCTATCAAACATCTATCGTTTTTATCTTCCCTCCTTTTTTTGTGTGTTTGTTACTCCCTTGTAACACCTCTAATCTTCGGCACTTATAATAAGACCTAATTGTGTTGCAAGTGCCATAAAACTCTTACGGAAAAAAAGTGTAATTGTTGTTATTTCTGGTGTTGGAAGTGGGCCAATATGGATACGTCTTATTTGAGAAATGAAGTATGGTTCATTCGAACATGTAATGTTTTGTTTTGTATTGTTTTGTCTTGTTTGGGGTGGGGTTTTTTGTTGGTGTTTGTTAGAGGGTATAGTTCTCAGTGGGGAAAAGGAGAGATCAGGATTGTTATTTGCATGTGTTTGTGTGTGTGTGTGTGTGTGTATGTGGTGTGTGAGAGAGAGAGAGGGGGAGGGAGAGAGGAAAGGAGGGAGGGAGAGAGAGAGGAAAGATAAAGAAAGAGAAAGAAGGAGTGGGAGGAAGGGAGGGAGAGAGAGATAAAGAGAAAGAAGGAGAGGGAGGAAGGGAGGGAAAGAGAGAGAGAGAGGGAGGGAAAGAGAGAGAGAGAGAGAGAGAGAGAGAGGGGGGTGTGAGAGAGAGAGAGGGAGGGAGGGAGAGAGAGTGAAAGAAAGATAGCTAGAACAGTAACACAACGACAAAGTCTAGTCAGATTCATTGACCGCTGTTTTGCTCTCCCCCCACAGGAAGCCACCAGTTTCATCGAGGCACAAACAACAAAAGGCCAGCCCTTCTTTCTGTACTGGGCAGTGGACGCGACACACGAACCTGTCTATGCCTCTCGAGATTTCCTGGGCACCTCGCGGCGAGGGCTGTGAGTGTTACCTGTGTTGCACGTTGGGATCATCATCATGCCTTTCTCACTTTCTCACTCTGGGTCAGGATATAGGCCACGAACAAACACTTTCTCACCCTCGATCAAGGTATAGGCCATGGCGAACAAACACTTTCTCACCCTGGATCTGGGTATAGGCCACGAACAAACACTTTCTCACCCTGGTTCAAGGTATAGGCCACGAGCAAATACTTTCTCACCCTGGATTAGGATATAGGCCATGAACAAACACTTTCTCACCCTGGATCTGGGTATAGGCCACGAACAAACACTTTCTCACCCTGGATTAGGATATAGGCCACGAACAAACACTTTCTCACCCTGAATTAGGATATAGACCACGAACAAACACTTTCTCACCCTGGATCAGGGTATAGGCCACGAGCAAATACTTTCTCACCCTGGATTAGGATATAGGCCACAAACAAACACTTTCTCACCCTGGATTAGGGTATAGGCCTCGAACAAATACTTTCTCACCCTGGATTAGGATATCTGGCCCTGTGGAGTATGCGGCGACAGTGTGCCTGGCCAGAAGAGAGAGGATTAGGATATAGGCCACGAACAAACACTTTCTCACCCTGGATTAGGATATAGACCACGAACAAACACTTTCTCACCCTGGATCAGGGTATAGGCCACGCACAAGTACTTTCTCACCGTGGACTGAATAAACACTTTCCACCTTTCCCTATCCTGGGCTAGCCTCTTGATGCTGTTCCATGTCTTCCCATTTTTCTGTACATCAATTTCTGTGAATTTTCTCCAGGTTTCACATGGTCTTCCCCTTGATCTTTTACCCTGTGGGTTCCAATCCAACACTTTCCTTGTCTTCACCTCCTGTTTGTCTCTCTCTGTATCTGTGCATCCTTATCTGTTTCAGGGAACTTTTGGTTCCTTGATTGGCTTTCAAAGAAATCATCAGTTCTTCGCCCCCTATTTCTCTGTCCCCCTTGTGTTTGTGCATCTTTATCTATTTCAATACACATTTGGTGCCTTGTTTCTTTCATGTGATGTCTTTGGCTTTTAAACAAATCGTCCTCCCCCCGGGGCAGTGCCACTGACTGTAGTGTCTTTAGGCCATTCCCAAAGGGGGGACATTTCTCATTCAAGCACTGTAGAATTGTAAATGGGCTGATTCATCATGTCACGCTCATAACTGTGCCTGATCTGCAACAGGGAACTGCTGCTTTTTCTTTCCTAATCCTTACTATAGTCATTTCCCCCTACTTCTTTTGCATGTTTGTCACACTCTTCCTGCTATATCCGAGTGCCTTGATAGTCGAAGCAGACCTTGTGCTGTTGAAGCTAGAGAGGTGAGCAGAGTAAGTCTGTTTCCCTGTAAAGACTTCTCTGTTGACACCCACCCCTTGGCGCTCATATGACCTTATGCTGTTGCGAGCGCCGTAAAACCCTCTACTATAATAAATAATAAACAAATCGTCAATTCTTCAACCCCTGTTTCTCTGTCCCCCCATATCAGTGCATCTTTATCTATTTCAATGGCCTTTTAGTGCCTTTTGTGTCTTTCGCGTGATGTCATTGACTTTCAAATAAATCATCAATTCTTCATCCCCTGTTTCTATGTCCTTATTAAAATGTATCTAGATCTGTGCATCATTATCTATTTCAATGCACCCTTGGTGCTTTTCGTGTCTTTCGCGTAATGCCGTTGCCTCATACTGTCTGTTGCCACTTTGTCTCTCACAGGTACGGTGATGCGGTACGGGAGCTGGATTCTGGTGTCGGAGAAATTCTGGCCACATTGCAGCGGTTGGGTGTGGACAAGAACACTTTAGTGTTTTTCACCTCGGACAATGGCGCAGCAACGTACGCCAAGACGAATGGTATGACCTACTACACTCAGTCATCCTGATCTCATGACCCGTGTCATTGCAGACTGACCCTTTGTGGGTGGTTGGCGGGTGCTCTGGTGTGGTTTGCTCCTTCTTTCCTATCAAACATCTATCGTCTTTATCTCCCCTTCTTCTTTTTTATGTTTGTTACTCTCTTGTAACACCTCTAATCTTCTGGCGCTCATATAACCTTAGTCAGTTGCGAGTGCCATAAAACCTCTACTAAAAAAAAAACCAAAAAGAAAGACTGACCCTTTGTGGGCTTTCTATAATTGGGTTATCTTAGAAGAGATAGTTTCCCTTATGCAGTTGCGAGGGCTGTGAAACCCTTACCAAAAAAAAAAGAGATAGTTTCTGTGGGTGTCTTTCGAGTCCACAGATATAAGATAGAATATTATCCATAGAGTGAGGATGTCATTCATTTTTCATTACATGTACACGAGCTATGGGATGGACTCTCCACGTGACCACACTTTTATGGGAGTTGTCCCACCACACATGACTACACCCTGCACACGACTACACCCTACCAAAGGGTTGGGGTTCATTGACACACCACCCACATGACTACACACTAATGGGAACTGACCCTCCACACACAATTGCACATTATTAGGAATCGACTTACCATTCACAACTACACACCAATGGGAACTGATCCAACAACACACATTTACACACTAATGACAACTGACCAACAACACACATTTACACACTATTGACAACTGACCAACAACACACAATTATACACTAATGACAAGTGACCAACAACACACAATTACACACTAATGAGTACTCACCATTAACGACTACACACTAATGAGTACTGACTCACCATTAACGACTACACTCTTATGACAACTGACCAAAAGCACACAACTAAACCAATGGGAACTGACCAACAACACACATTTACACACCTATGGAAACTGACTTGCCACACACGACTACACATCAATAGAAATTGACTCACCATTCATTACTACACACTTATGGGAACTGAAGCACCATTCACGACTACACATCAGTGGGAACTGGTCCACCATGTACGACCACACACCAATGAAAACAGATGCACCACCCACATGACTACACATCTATGGCAACTGACTCACGACACACAACTACACACTAAAGGGTTGGGGTAAAGTGATGCTAATGAGGTATATTTGTTAGTGTATCATCTCTACCATATGTGCCATGACACGGTGGAATCAGGCGTTTGTCAATTTTTGAGCATATGCATCACGATGCGGTGGAATCAGGCACTCGTCAATTTTTGGGCATATGGAGTAATTAGCATTATCTCAAAGCTGGTTGATTTGTCTTGCTTTCTATGAAAGAAATACCCGTCTGTCTAAAATAGGAGTCAAGATATTTGCGATTTAAGGAGGTGGGGGTTGCCTGGTTTCTGAGGGAAAATTATTGAGCAAATGGCTGCCAAAATTTGAGAGTCCTTGGAAACTGAAAATGTAGGCTACATTTTTCTGTGCCTTTAATCAACGTTTTTCTGTAAAATTCACTCAGAAATGTTTTTAAATGAATGTAAAAGGTGTTGAGCTAGATATCACAAATTCAATAAAAATAACCAAACTAACGGAAGAATGCCAATTTCTTCTACATCTATTTCATTATTTTGGCAAGTGCCTGATTTCACAATGTCTCCCATATTAAGTTATTGATATCGTCATAAAGCTTGTTTATTTATCTTGCTTTTGTTGAAAAAAATATGCCCAAGGAGGTGGGGATCACTTGGTGCTAGTGGTAAAATTAATGAGAAAATGGCCGCCAAAGTTTAGTGACTTTCAAAAATTGAGTCTCTGTCTTTTGTTTTTCCAGGCGGGAGTAATGGTCCTTTCCTGTGCGGCAAACAGACCACATTTGAGGGCGGCTCACGGGAACCAACAATTGCGTGGTGGCCTGGTCATATCTCTCCTGGACAGGTAGGTGGTGTGTGAGCATGTGTGTATGTGTGTGTATGTGTCTGTGTGTGTGTAATCATGGGAACCAACAATTGCATGGTGGCCTGGTCATATCTCTCCTGGACAGGAAGGTGGTGTGTGTGTGAGTGTGTGTCTGTGTGTTTGTGTGTATGTGAGTGTGTGTGGATGTGTATGAGTGTGTGTGAGGGTGTGTGTGTGTGTGGGTGTGTGTCTGTTTGTGTGTTGTATGTGTGTGTGTGTATCTGTATGTGTGGGTGTATGTTGGTGTGTGTGTAACACCTCAGATCTTCAGCACTTATATGACCTAGTTGCGTTGCAAGTGCTGTTAAACTCGTGCTTAAACATAAACTCATACTAAAACCAAACTAAATTGGGTTGAAATGCTTCTCTTTACTCCAACTCCAACTCCAGCTCAAGCTTCAAAACTCAAGCTCAAAGTCTTACTCAAAATCAAGCACAAGCACAAACTCAAAACTCCAACACAAACTCAAAACTCAAAACTCAAAACTCAATCTAAGACTCTAACTCAAACTCAGACTCAAACCTCAAACTCAAACCCAAACCTCAAAACTCAAAACTCAAACCTCAGAACTCAGAACTCAAATCTACCTATCTGACCGCAGGTGTCCAAGCAGACAGGAAGCCTGATGGACTTTTTCTCCACGTTCCTGGACCTGGCCTCCATCCCCGCCCCGGCTGACAGAGCCATCGACGGGATCAGCCTGAGGTCCGCCTTACTGCACAGCAACGTCACTGACAGGTAAATCAACACTGTGAGGTTGGACAAAATGAAATACTCATCGGATATGAGCCGTAAGGACATAGATACATCAAATCCATTGACTGAGTTTATACAATTTACAAGTATGAAATGGTTAATAACATGTTGCACTTTAAACTTGAAAAAAAAAGTAGCATGATTTGAAAAATCTACAAATTGACCCCTGTGTTGATTTTCAGTTAATATCTCCATTGGTGGATTGTGAGAAGAAACTCATTTTGTCAACATGCCTCAAAAATTATCTCTGACCTAACATACAGCTAAGCACACCCATGGCTTGAAGCTGTTGTGTTAGAGTGGAGTTTTAGTGGGTGGTTGGAGGCGGAGGGCAGTCTGGTGTTGTTTGCTCCTTTCCTATCAAGCATCTCTTGTCCTTATCTCTCCTCCTTCTTTTTTGTGTTTGTTACTGTCTTGTAACACCTGTAATCTTCGGCACTTATGTGAATTTATTGTGTTGCAAATGCCGTAAAACTTTAACTAAAACTAAAAACATATTTCTGATGCAAGTGCCATAAAACTTACTTAGACTTTAAAAAAAGAATAAATGGATGGAAGTTACACAGTGGTCGCGATCTGGAGAGGACAAACTTTTGAACCTTTTTAGTTTAGTTTAGTAAGAGTTTTACGGCGCTCACAATTACTACGGTGGCATCGGTGGCCTAGTGGTTAGTCTATTGGACCCGTAATTGTTAGATTGCATGTTCGGGGGTTTGAACCTCAACTCAGTCCGACTTGTGTCCTTGGGAAAGGCACTTTACACGAATTTCCCTCTTGGGCTTGGTCCTTTCGGAGATGGAAGTTAACTCGGAGATCCCGCCTCTTAAATAACTTAATAGTGTTAAACCTGTACCATTTCACCAGTTCACCAGCAATACTACCTAAGGAACCTCTTTATGACTTAAAAAAAAATCCGTTGCCCATTTATATGAGATTGACGCCATCTGATTAGTAAAAAAAAGTGCGTATGATAGTGTCCAATAGTGTATTATGTGCGTACTTAGTATGACAAGTAACTGTTACGGATTGAGATTCAAGGATTATAGATGTAAGTCATTGATCTGAGAGCAATGATGATTTTAGAAATAATGGTGGTGATGAGTGATAATGTGGGATTGCATTTAAGTAATGTCAGCGTTAGTTCTATCTTCCTCTGCTCCAATGAGTCACGAGGAACGTAGGCACCCTCTATCCCGTTCCCTACAGGAACCATGTTTACGGTCACCGTGAAGTTCCAAAATGATGGGCACAGTTAACCTCTATGAGAGATAGAGAACAGAATGTTTTTCTGTTTGAAGAGAACGAATATTATAATGAATGTTTCTAGTTTCAAGTTACTCACGTTTCAATTTTATTGCGACCGTTCGTGAATTTTTATTGCATTGTACATGTATATTTTTGGTGAACACATTTCCAACCTCACTCCGAGATTGTTTTTGTCATAGAAATTTTTACACATATGTAGGAACATCTAGCTCTCACTGGCAAATTTGAGGGCAAGCGAGGCAGGGGTAGGCCCAGAACAACATACTTAGGGAACCTAAACAAATGGGTAACAGGGAAAGATCAGGGAAACGTAGCTTTTCTGAGAGCATCCGAGCAAAGGAATGAATGGAAAATCATGATCGCCGATGTCTATCACAGATCTGGCATTGGATGATGATGATACATGTATAGACATTCTATATATTATATCATAATGCTGTGTTTTATGTACACGCATGTCGATTAATTTTTAAGATGTGATGTCTTTTTTGATGTAGTGTGCATTGGGCATTTTTTTAAAAATGGAAATGCGCAATATAAATGCTATTAATTATTATTACTATTTCTCCCCTCCAGGCCCATCTTCTACTACCGCGGTGACCTTCTGATGGCTGCCAGACTCGGCCAGTATAAGGCTCACCTCTGGACCTGGACCAATGGCCTGGAAGAATATCACAAGGTGAGCCATTGCATATACATGCACTCACACACATGCACGCACACATAGGCACGCACACATACACAGTGTGCACACACTTAAAATTACTCACACACATACATACACACACATACACACACATGCACTCACACACATGCACACACACAGACATGCACACATACACAGTGTGCACACACTTAAAATTACACACACACACACACATACACACACATACACACACATTTGCACATACACACACACACATACACACACGCACACACACACACACACACACACACACACTTACACACACACACACACACACACACACCTACTTTCACAAACACATATGTGTGGCTTTTTGACAACATCAGGCACTCATCAAAATGATAAAATCAAAGAGCAGATGGCTACAACGTTGACACAGAAAACAGCTGATAAAACAAAGATCAATACACAATGCACCAATACATTTATCACTTCCTCACTCTCTCTGGTTTGGCATGCTCCTTCTTTCCACTCAAAATTGCATTGTCTCTCCTTCAGTTTTGCCTTTGTTACTCTCTTGTAACACCTCTGATCTTTGACACTTGTGTGACCTAATGGTGTTGCAAATGCTGTATGTCTCTTACTAAAATGAGGGGATTGTAGTAGTGTAAAAAATCTGTACGTGTGTAGGCATACATATGTGATGTCTGAGTCTTATGTGTTATGTTCTTAGTTTGAAGCTTCAGCTCAGAAAGGGTTATTTAAGTTATAATGAGAACTGTTCTGGGTGGTTGGTGGGTGCTCTGGTATGATTTGCTCCTTCTTTTCTATCAAACATCTTTAAATCATTCCGCTCTTTTGACCTTATGCGGTTGCGAATGCTGTAAAACACTTATCAAAAAACATTTTTTAAATCATTAACTCTCTCCTTCTTTTTGTTGTTTGCTAGTCTCTTGTAACAACAGTCTTGTATGACCTAATTGGGTTGCAAGTGTCATAAAACTCTTACTAAAACAAAGCGATGGTTAGTTTAAAACATCTGTAGGCTACATGTTTTGTCTGAGTCTTGTGTGTTATGTTCTTTGTCTGAAGCTTCAGCACTGAAAGGGTTAATGAAGTTATAATGTGGACTGTTTTGGTTGCTTGGCGGGTGCTCTGTTGTAATTTGCTCCTTCTTTCCTATCAGACATCTTTAAATGGCGCACTCATATGACCTTATGCACTTGCAAGCGCCGTAAAACGCTTACAAAACGAAAAAATAGTAAAAAACTCTCCTCCTGCTCTTTTGTTGTTTGTTACTCTCTTGTAACACCTCTAATCTTTGGCACTTATATTGCGGAATTGGGTTACAAGTGTCGTGAAACTTTTACTAAAACAAGGCGATTGTAGGAGTTTAAAACATCTGTACTTGTGAATTAAGTTGTAATGTAGACTATTGAGGTTAGCGGGTTCTCTCGTGTTGTTTGCTCCTTCTTTCCTATCAAACATCAATCGTCATATTATCTCTCCTCCTTCCTTTTTGTGTTTTTTACTCTCTTGTAACACCTCTATTCTTCAGCACTTACATGATCTAATGTGTTGCAAATGCTGTAAAACACTTACTAAAACTAAATTAAACTCTCTGCCGGGTCAACGTGGCAGAAGCCTTGATGTCATGCGTAAAGGACACTATTGTAATGTGTTGCAAATGCCGTAGAACTCTTACTAAAACTAAAAAAATTACTATCTGTTGTGGTTGCGTTGCATCCTCAGGGCATCGACTTCTGTCCCGGGGAGAATGTGGAAGGACTGACCACTCACAAGCAGACCAACCACACGGACAGTCCACTTTTGATTGACCTCGGGGCCGACCCGGGGGAGAAGTACATCATCAAGTGAGTACGGTACCTTGACCACCAATAATTTATTTGTGGATGGTTGGCGGGTGCTCTGGTGTGGTTGATCCTTCTTTCCTATCAAACATCTGCTATCATCCTTATCTCTCCTGCTCCTTTTTTGTGTTTGTTACTCTCTTGTAACACATCTATTCTTCGGCACTTATATGACCTTATTGTGTTCCAAGTGCGGTAAAACTCTTTCTAAAACTAATAATTTATTTTGAGAGGCATCAGCCATCCATGTCCAGGTGCTGTTTTAGCCTTGGTACGATACCTCTAAATCTAAAAACAGAGAGTGTGTGGTTAGAGGGCGCCTCTGGTAGGTCCTACTTCTTTACTTTCCCTCTGTTATTTCTGTCTGTCTCTCTTACTTTTTTCCAGAACTATATAACCATTATTTTGTCGATGGACTTCTCTTTACTCAAACAAACAAACAAGCATAAAAACAAAAAGAAAGAAAGATACAAAAGTAAATTTCTTACCATCTAGTATCTGACTACTGTTAGAATAAGGGAGTGCTTATTTAGGCCACATATGGCCTAAATAAGGTAAGGGAGGGGGTTTTAGCTTATTTAGGCCACAGTGGACTGTGGCCTAAATAAGGTAAGGGAGGGGGGTTTAGCTTATTTAGGCCACACGTTCAAACTACCCTTTTCAGGCAACTGAGTTCATTCCACTTTCATAATGGTGCCCCTTTCTCATTTAGTATGGTTTTGCCTCAGTGTACAACTTATAAATCATAACCATAATGAATATTGTAAAGAACAAAGCACAAAACACAAAATTTTGCTCAATTCCAATAGTTTGAATGAGGGCCGGATTTTTCCTTCATGGAGGGGCAAAAGCTAGGCTACCATTTTGGCACACTTTGGTCAAGTGAAAAGGTCAAATCCTCCGAATGGACTTTCGGGTAAAATTTGGGGTATAAAAAGTGTGTATACTACGTGGCTGAGTCAAAGTTACACTATCTTTGCCTGAGTGACACTCTCTTGTACTGTCTCGTAGTAGTACATGTAGGCTAGTAGGCCTAGTAGTAGTAGTAGCAAAGATCGTGTAGAGAATATTTGGTAGTAGATTCTATCTAGTAGGCAGTTTAGTGAACGTGCTCGCGGCAGGGCGAATCGGCCTCGATAAGCCCTGTAGACTTTTGTGATCGGCCACGAAGCCTCGTGTTTTGATGGGTCTAGATCTAGATCTAGATCTAAACAACTCAGTGCTATTCGCACTGCCACATCCGACAGGCCTAGATCTACATCTTTTTAAAAGGAAAAGAAAGATCATCAAAATGGTTGAATTCGCATGAAAATCGATTAGGTAGAACTAGAACTATAAAAACTTGCTTCTGAAAACAAGGCAATTTTTATACGAAGGCCATTTTTATAACTCGATGAAATAAAAACTACTGACTGTGTACTGTGTTATTCTGTATAAAAATAAATTATGAAACTTCAGGACGTAGATCTATTATTATTTACCAGCATCTTTTGACGCCTGAGCTGTAGAGGTTGAAGTTTTCACAACACTAATAGATCTAGTAATAGGGTTAGGTAATACAGCTTTCCGTAAAAAATGCATAGATTTACAAAAGCCGACCACCGAATCGACCGGGCGCCTCGGTCTCCCCTGCACTCTGATTCAATATTATATTTAAACAAAAATGCTAATCAATGAAAATTGCAAATTGATAATAATAGTATAGTCCTGTAGAGGATAGGTGGACTCCGGGGTCTGCATAGCGAAATACTAGGTTTTAGGATGTGGACCCCGGAGTCACCGTAGTGAAATAAGGTTTGGTTTAAGTAAGGATTGGTACTAGGTTTTAGGACAGGTGGACCCTGGGGTCACCGCAGTGAAATAAGTAGGTTTCTTTAAAGATTGGTGGAACCCGGAGTCACCAAGGCCATAGAGGATTAAGAAGGTTTAATTAAGGATTGGTGGACCCCCGGGACACCTTGATTAAACCTACTTATTTTACTACGGTGACCGCAGGATCCACCTATTCTAAAACCTAACTAGTGTTTCGTTAGGTAGACCCTGGGGTTCACCTTAAACCTACCTATTTCACTACGTTGACTCCAGGGTCCACCAATCCTTAAAATTAAACCTAGATCTATCTACATGTACTTATTTCACTACATTGACCCCAGGGTCCACCAATCCTTAATTAAACCTAGATCTACTGATTTCACTACATTGACCCCAGGGTCCACCAATCCTTAATTAAACCTAGATCTACTGATTTCACTACATTGACCCCGTGGTTCTTCAATCCTTAATTAAACCTATATCTACTTATAATTTCACTACTTTGACCACGGGCTCCGCCAGTCCTATTATAAAATAAACTTAGATCTACTTATTTCATTATGTTGACCCCGGGGTCCACCGATCCTTAGTTAAACCTAGATCTACTTATTTCACTACGCTGACTCCGGGGTTCACATCTTAAAACCTAACATTTTGTTAGGTAGACCCCGGGGTCCACCTATCCTTTTGGCTAGATAGACCCCGTAGTCCGCCTATCCACTTTCTTGATAATAACTGAAAACAATACATGCTAGTTGTCATTTATAGTGAAGAAAAAGGAGGGAAAAAAATAATTAGGTAGACTTTAATTTGTCCAAAAAATTGCAAGTGCAAGTGAAGATCATAAAATAATTTTGTTATTTTCTGGTCACCTTTCCAAGGACCTTAAATTGATTCTACATCACATGTCATGTACGATACGGCTGTGAAGGAAAATGGATGTGAAGAGTTTTAAAGAGATAATAACGTAACTTGTAAAGAAAACAATGCTTTACATTGTTTTGGTTATTTTGACTACATATGTGGCCTAAATAAGGTAAGGGAGGGGGGTTTAGCTTATTTAGGCCACAGGTGTGGCCTAAATAAGGTAAGGGAGGGGGGTTTAGCTTATTCAGGCCACAGGTGTGGCCTAAATAAGGTAAAGGAGGGGGGTTTAGCTTATTTAGGCCACCTGTGGCCCAAATAAGGTAAGGGAGGGGGGTTTAGCTTATTTAGGCCATAGGTGGCCTAAATAAGGTCACCCTTAGAATAAATATCAATGTGTATTGTTTTTTCGAGTATGTATCTATATATATAATTCTAAAAGTCTTGTACTTAAATTCCTACATGTGATTGAATGATGCATCTGATGTGATATGTATATTTTTGTCAGCTTTACTTTTCTCTTAATATTGAATTTTAATGAGAGTGATATAGTTCAATTGTTATGTATACCTGCAAGTGTGTTATGGTCCTGCACAGCCAAGAAAAATTTCCCTTTTTTCTTATCTTATCTTATCTTATCTTGTCATATCTTATCATATCTTAACGAATGTCGTGGAAAGTTCGTACATTTACCTATAACGTTGTACAGTCAAACCTTGCTATACCGCCTCCCTTGCGACTGGCATAAAGTTGGCAGAACAGCGGGGCTGGCGGTTCAACGGTGTTCCTCTGTTGTATAGCCCCAACTACCACCCAACGTCCTTATCTCCCCTCCTTCTTTTTTATGTTTGTTACTCTGTTGTAACACCTCTAATATTCGGCATTCATATGACTTAATTCTGCTGAATAAAGTCCAGACTTTCATCAACAGATGTATGAGGAGTATCCTAAGAATTAAGTGGCAGGATAGAATAAGAAATGAAGTGCAATGGGAAAGAACAGGACAAAAGGATGAAAGTGGCGTTGGATGGGACACACCATCAGAAAGCCAGCGAAAACATCACAAGACAGTCACTGCAATGGAACCCACAGGGAGCACGAGGCAGGGGTAGGCCACGAGAGACATAGAGGAGATGTGTGGAAAGGGACATGAGAGAGATGAAGATCACTTGGAACGAGCTAGGAAGGATGGCCCAGGATAGAGATAAATGGAAGGAGCTTGTATGTGGCCTATACCCTGCCTGGGGTGAAAGGCATTAATGATTGATGATATGACTTAATTGTGTTGCAAATGCCATAAAATGCTTACTCAAATTCACTTGTAACACCTCTAATATTCGACACTTATATATGACCTTATTGTGTTGCAACTGCCGTAAAAAAAGGCTTACTCGAACTCACTTGTAACACCTCTAATATTCGGCACTCATGACGTAATTGTGTTGCAAATGCCATAAAATGTTTAGATCTACACAAATTCACTGGTAACACCTCTAATGTTCGACACTTATATTATGACCTAATTATGTTGCAGGTGCCGTAAAATGTTTGCATGTTTACTAGATCTAACGAAAACTAACCCCCCCCCCCCAAACACTTCCCTCCCCAGGCCTCACAGTTCGGTCTACAGAAAAGAGATGCCGGCCATCCTTGAGGCGGTGAGCAAACACCTGTCTGGACTCAAACCTGGCGTCCCTCAGCTCAACTGGTGTGACTCAGCTGTCATGGTGGGTAACCTCGTGACCTTGTTTGGATAGAGATTGCAGTTTTTGTAAGATAGAGTTTTATTCTGTCCCCGGGGTTTTATGCACCCCGCATAATTTAGCAAAGTTTCATCATTTTTTGCATAATTTCTGATTAGTTTCCTTTATTATTCTTTGTTAAAATGAACAGAATCGCATAATTTCACATTTTTTGGGCTCAGTTTGAATAATTTCAGATTTTGTTTTTTCCATAAAACCGCGGGGACAGTTTATGTAACCCTCTGATCCCTTTCCACTGGTATACTGGTGGCGCTGGCGCATCACATAAAAATGTCTGTATGCGTAGCCACCGGTACAGCGGTAAGCGAGACCCATCCCCAACCCGGCCCGCCTGAGACAAAATGCGTATGGAAAACAGCTTTCGCTACACATGACGTTATTGATTATTTTGAAGGTCTTTCTGAATTAGATGCTTGTAATGACAAGGACTACCTTGAGTTAAGTGGGATGGAATATGATTCTGACGATCATATGAATGTTAGTAAGATATTGCTCAGTGGCTCAGGCAGAGGGGCACGGTAGCCTCAGGAGGTCAGAGCTCCAAGGGTTAAAGCGCTTGCGACACAATAAGGTCATACAAATGCCGACGATTAGAGGTGTTACAGGAGAGTAAGAAAAACAAAAAAGGAGGAGGAGAGATCAGATAAGGACGACAGATGTTTGTTTAGAGAGAGTGTTCGTCTTGTCTTGTGAAGTAGTAGGAGTAGTCAGCTGGTGGTTGGCGGATGCTCAGGTGTGATTTGCTCCTTCTTTCCCGTCAAACATCTATCATCCTGATCTCTCCTTCTTTTTTGGGGTACTTATAACTAATCTTCGGCTCTTATATGACCTTATTGTGTTGCAAGGGCCGCGAAACTCTTACTAAAACCAAAAACTAAAGAGTATTCAGCTTGTCTGGTGTAGTAGGAGTGGTCATGTGACCTTCTACCATGATCATTTGACCCTTTTAAGTGGATTTCATCTTGTGACTTTGTACGGTGACCATGTGACCTTATTTAGAGAGAGTATTTGTCTTGTCTTGCGAAGTAAGAGTGGTCATGTGACTTTGTACAGTGATCATGTGACCTTATTTAGAGAGAGTATTTGACTTTTCTTGTGAAGTAAGAGAGGTCATGTGACTTTGTACAGTGATCATGTGACCTTATTTAGAGAGAGTGTTTGACTTGTCTTGTGAAGTAAGAGTGGTCATGTGACTTTGTACAGTGATCATGTGACCTTATTTAGAGATAGTGTTTGACTTGTCTTGTGAAGTAAGAGTGGTCATGTGACTATGTACGTGATCATGTGACCTTATTTAGAGAGAGTGTTTGACTTGTCTTGTGAAGTAAGAGTGGTCATGTGACTTTGTACAGTGATCATGTGACCTTATTTAGAGAGAGTGTTTGACTTGTCTTGCGAAGTAAGAGTGGTCATGTGACTTTGTACAGTGATCATGTGACCTTATTTAGAGAGAGTGTTTGACTTGTCTTGTGAAGTAAGAGTGGTCATGTGACTTTGTACAGTGATCATGTGACCTTATTTAGAGAGAGTGTTTGACTTGTCTTGTGAAGTAAGAGTGGTCATGTGACTTTGTACAGTGATCATGAGACTGTTTGTTTGTAGACTGGTAGTGGTCCTCTGGCCTTGTTCAGTGGGAGAGATAAATGTGACTTTGCACATTGGAATTGGTCATGTCATCTTGTTATCCCTTTCCTGATCACATTCATCATCAACTGTAACCGTTCATACAGCAGCCTAGTGGTCACTTTCTTTTGTGCCTTTTCTGTCCCCGTGGTTTTATGCACACCGCATAATTTACCAAAATTTGATCATCTTTTGCATAATTTCTTATTATTTTCCTGTTCTTTCTTTGTTAAAATTAACAGAATCGCATAATTTCACATTTTTTGGGCCTAGTTTGCATAATTTCAGAAATTTTTTTTCATAAAACTACAGGGACAGCCTTTTGGATTAAAAGCAAATTCTCCTCATCCCACCTTTTGTTCCCACCCCTTCAACCCTCCTCAGAGCTTACATGTGTTCTCTATTATCTAATGTTAGATATTGTCTGTTGTTTGTGGGTGGTTGGCAGAAGCTCTAGTGTGGTTTTCTTCTTCTTTCCTAACAAACATCCATTATCTATTCCCATCCTTTTTTTGTGTTTGTTACTCATTTGAAGCACCTGTACTGTTCGGCACATATATTATAACCTTATTGTATTGCAAGTGTTGTAAAACTCTTCCTAAAATGAACCCTATCCGTACGTCGTATTTTACTATCGTATCCATACGATGTGGGCAACTCTGTGCCACCACTTTCCAAAGAGGAAATTTACTAATTAATCGGATCCCTACGCTTTGCATAGAGCGGTCAGTCAAAGTGATCTGTTGTTTCCTTGTATAGAACTGGGCACCTCAAGGTTGTGAGAAGCTTGGTCGTTGCCTGCCAGCCCCCAAGTCCCAGCCCTACAAGTGTGTGTGGCCTCATTGAAGTGTGTGAGACCAGGACAGGTTAGTGTGATCAAGCTATTTAGTTTTTAGTTTTAGTTTTAGTTAAGAGGTTCACAATGCTTACAATAACGCAATCAGGTTGTAAAAGTGCAGAAGATTATGTTTGTCTGTTTGAGTGAAGAGAAACACATAAGAAAAATAAGATCAGATAGAGTAGAATGAGATAGGATAGGATGAGATGAGATAAGGTAGGATAGGATAAGATAAGATAAGATAACATGATACTTTATTGTCCTAGAGTGGAAAATTTTTCTGTGCCTTTACAGAAATGGTAAAAACACATAGATCTACTTGTAGTTAATCTAAATCATACACTACTTTAATAAAAAAAATTCAATATGAAGAGAAAAATAAGTTGACAATAATATGTAACATATCAATAAATGCCATGTGCCCAAAAATTGGCATTTAGTGCTGAGGAAAAGTAAGACAGACAGAGCTAGAAGCAAGAGAGGGAAAGTAAAGAAGTAGGACCTGCCATTGACGCCCTCCAACCTCCTGTGCAGGAGATAGAGATGTTACTAGAGTGTAACAAACAAACAAAATAGTAGGAGAGAAAAGGACGATAGATGTTTTTTAGATGGGGGTTTGGGGGGGGGGGGAAAGTGTTTTACAGCGCTCGCAACTGCATAATATCATATGAGCGGCACTGGACACATTAAACATTTCCAGTTGGTAGTAAATTTTGAATTTTGCCTGGATTGCGGCCGAAGCCTACTCTTATCGATTTTGGAATACCAAGGGATCTTTAACGTTTGCAACTTTCACTCCAGACCTCCTAGATTTTTTGCCATGATCCGAGAAGGCTAGGTGATAGATCTTACATACCTTAAAATCAAGAGTGTGGCTGAAAGACAGCAGTAAGCAGGAAGTAAGGAGTAGCAGTAGAAAGGCTGCAGAAAGAGTCAGGAGCCCAGAGGAGGGTGCAAAGGAGGTGAGCGGGTGGTTGCAGAAAGTAGAGACGAAAACAGATTATTTGAGAGCAGGAAAGGATGTGAAAGGAGAAATTTTAGAGAAAAAAATTTGTCCGTTGCTATTCGGATTCTAACCAGGGACCTATTGAATGAGATGCAATCACCTTAACCTGTAGGCCACGAGAGCCCCCTATGATGATACTAGACATCAGTAGACAGATAGGATTTGGTGACCTTAAAAATCAAGTGTAGCAATAACTTCAAATATCAATAAAAATGAGGATGACACCACTAGATAGGTAAAGTGATGACACCTTGTTTTTTCTAGTTCATCTCTGAATGAAATTAATTAAGACATCCCAACATCTAGTGTGAAGGCTGCCGCTCTCCGCAGGTCCTCCTGGTTCCTACAGTTTTGGGTCTTCCTGTCTATTTCCTTCTACAGTATAACACGGATAGGTCGAATACAAAAGACTCGAAACCACGCCGCCGTCAAACTGTACCTGAGGTCCTTTTTTCCCCCCCTTCTTAATCATCTTTGTAAGATATCCCTCGAACTACCAAGGCTGGTCCTGACAAATTTGAGCTATCCTTGTTACACTTTATTTAGTTCTTCATGAGGTGTTAGTATAGTAGTCTAGTGGTTAGGCTACCAGATTTGTAATCGTGAGTTAGCTGGTTTGGGGGTTGGAGCCTCAGGTCTGACGTTGTGTCATTGGGAAAGGCACTTTTTATGAATTTTCCTCACTTCACCCAGCTGCGAACAGGTACGGTACCTTACCATAGACAACAAAGGATTTTATCAGTAAGTTAGTGTTTAAGTGTCTGCAAATCAAGGCAGCTTGCTCTATGCTTCCCTGGAAGTTGAGATTGTTTCCGAATGCTGTCAGGTCTGCTGGGGTAATAATGTAGACTGTAAAGCGCATTGTGCTTGCTGATGAGTGGGAGTTTGCGCTATATAAATGCTATCTTATCTATTTTCTTCTTCTTTTTCTTCTTCTTCTTGTCCTCC